GGTGGACGATCGAGGAGGGGGCTGGAGGATCAGGGTAAGTGGAGAAACGGGTTTGGGCACGCAGTCTGCTCCCACAGGCTGCAGGTGGGAAGCGTTCTGCTTCCCGCGCATGTGCCCCTTTCCCCTTCGAGCCGAATCGCTAATGCTGCAATCTGAACAAAGCCCCGGACGATCAATGTATAACCTTCGTGGAAGATGTACTTTATTGCCACACTGGACAACAGGCTGTGATCATATGGGAAGCAAGCAACGGAATGGCCTTGGGAGTGACAGCTGTGTGCCTCAGCTCACGGATCCTCTCATCATGCATGGTGATAATTACCCCTGTTCACGCTGAACTGCGGCGGCCCCCTGACCAGGTCGGAAGGCGCGTCCAAGAAGAGCTCACCCTTTCTGAGCGAGAGGAAAACCGAATGCCCGGCCACCTTCTTGGTACATGCCTGCATGTGCACCAGACCGTTCATGATGTGGCACTCGAGCAGTCGCTGCCCGCGCGGACGATCTATGGTTTCTTTAGGATCGGGCTTCTTGGCGAACAGCTTTGCGAAGCCCACTGGGTCCCGGAGCCCCACTATTGTCCCCTGAGGCTCGCATGCCTTCCTCCGCCCATCTCGGCACACTCGTCACATGTTTCGTGGCCCCCCACAAGTGGCTCCACCGAGCGCACTGGTGGCCTCGTCCGCATTAGGGGTTCTCCTAGGCCTCTGGGGACCTTGGGGGGTGTCGTCGTCGTTGTCGGAGAAGGGGGAGGAGGCGGATGAGGAACAGGAGGACGAGGACTAGGAGGGCGGGGACGGCGACGGCGACGGCGACGGCGACGGCGACGGCGACGACGGCGACGACGACGACGACGACGGCGAGTAGGGGCCCCATGGCCAATTTACAAAATTCGCTCCTGCGTTACTCGCAGCTGCATATGATTGGGTCCTTCGCCAGGCTGGTTTTAAATCTTTCTTGGTATGGCCGCCGAGCAGCCCAAGGTCAGGGCCCCAAAGTGGGCCTGTCTGGAGGCTTGGTGGTGGTGCACGCGAGGGCCTCCCGACGTCGTGATTGTTTTTTACCAAGCCATCCTGGGTGAGTTGAGTCCTCGTCATTAATCAAGAGCACTGCGCCCCTCCTCCCCCTCACCTCCTTCCCCTCCCTCCCTCCTGCTTCTGTTCTCCATATGTCCATGTCGGAGCACCTTTCACACGTTTCGTGGCCCCACAGGGGGCTCCTCCGAAGGCCCCAGTGACCAGGTCCGCACGGCGTCCCACCGCCCACTTCGGCACACCCCTTCATGTTTCGTGGCCCCTATGCAGAGCTCCCCCGAAGGCCCCACTGGCAACTTTCACATGGCGTCCCCCACCCATCTCGGCAGACCCATCACACGTTTCGCGGCCCCATCTGGACGAGATCAACCGAAAGCCATGGTGGCACCGTTGGCAAAGTTCGCATACCGTCGCCCCGTCCATTTCGGCAACCTCGTCACACGTGTCGTGGCCTCATGGGGAGCTCCACTGAAGGCCACAGTGGCGAAGGTCGTATCACGAGAGAGAGAGGGAGATAGAGAAAGAGAGAGAGGCATCATCTGCGCTCCTCGAAATAGTTGCTCATGGCTAGGTTCTTCGCGCCAGGATGGTTGTTTGACGTAGGCCCTGCAGCTCTTGACCCCATGTCTGGGACAGTGTTTTGTCGCCCTGGGCAGTGTTTCACATGGCCCCAGGGCTCGAAACGGGCCTCCAGAGGCCCAACACCTGGAAGATCTGGCCCCGAGACCCCAAACAGGGACTCGGCAGGCTCTCAAGAGGCTCCCAGGAGGCCCCAAGAGGCCCCGCAAGCTGCCCTGTAGAGGCTTGAGACAAGCCCCCAAGTCCCCAACGCAATATATCATCCTTGCAACGCTATCGCCGACACGCCACGGCATCGTAGAGCCGCTCCCCAGGATCGCCTCAAGCCTACTCCCCACAGCTCCCCAAGGCCGCCAAGACTTCTCCAGAAAGCTCAAAAACACATTCAATGGTTACCAGACCAGTCTCCATACTGTGATGTCTGATTGCTACCCGCTTCAGATTCACCTCGTGGGATGGAGGATGCATTCTCGAGGCAACACAGCCTCCTCCCCCTCCTCCTCTTCTTTCCCCCTCCTCTTCCTCCTCCTCCTCCTCCTCCTCCTCTCTCCTCTTTCCCCCGTCTTCCTCACGCGCCCCTCGGCTCTTCTATCCTGTCTCCTCCTCCCTCAGCTTTCCTCCCTTCCGCCTCCTGACTCCTCCCCCCTCACCACTCCTTCCTCCTCCCCTCCTCCCTCGTCCCTCGTCCCTCCTGTCTCCATCCCCCTCCTCCACCCACTCCTTCGGCTTCCCTGAACCCTCCTCCCCCCCCACCTCCCTTCTTCCCTTCTCTTTCCCGCCCCTCTCCACGCCCTCCGGCGCCCCAATCGCCCCACCAGGAGGACACGGAGACGAAGTCAGAAGGTCCGATGGGCGTGGCGAAGACGAAGCATGCGCCGCGCCGACACAGCACTGCCACTTTCACTCACAAACTGCGCGCGCTTGGGCGAGGTCGGCATTTCACCCGCTCTCGCGCGGCCCTGCTGCCGTTGCCGCTGTCATGCGCCGCGCCCGCGCGCGACGCCGCTTCCGAGCGACATGCGCACGGAGCGTGGGCGAGGACGACAAAGTTGCCCACCCGCGCGGGCCCCCCCAAAGTGGCGAGTGTAGAATATGGGCCACATGTGGACGAGGCTGTTCCGTTCGACTCGTCGTCGTCGTCGTCGTCGTCGTCGTCGTCGTCGTCGTCGTCGTCGCCTTCGCCGCTCCCCTCACCTTTGCCTCCAGACCCGTCGCCCGAGGGCGCAAGCCACAGCGAAATGCAGCAACGTTGTCGTTGAGTCGAAGGGGAGCCCCTTCCCTTTGATCACTTCTCCGCCGGGGGGGGGGGGAGTCCCTAGGGGGGATCCCGAGGGGGGTCCCGGGGAGGGGGTCTCGAGGGGGGGTCCGGGGGGGGGGGTCGCAACTCAAGGGCGGGAGGGGTCCCGGGGGGGTCGCCAAGACGCGACTTCCCTCCGGGCGGTTCGGGTGGCCTCGCAGGGCGTTTTGCCAAGCCTTCCCAGCACACCTGGGGCGATCAGGGGGGTCATCGGAGACGTCCCAGAGACCCCCAAGACAGCACAAGAGCGCTCCAAGAGTGACCGACGTGACCTCAAGATGGCCCAAGAGGCCTCCAGGACGGCCCCAAAGAGGCCTCCAAGAGCACTCCCAAGAAGGCCCCCCGAGGCAAAAACCATGGATTTTCTGTTGGTTTTTGGTGAAGTCTGCGGTTCTCCTCTATTCGGCTTCCCGACGCTCCAAGACAGCGGTCTTCTGGGCGTTCGAAGCCGCCTGGGGGGCTCCAAAATCGCCCCACAACCATCCGAAAGGGCTTCCAGGCAGTCCAAGAGAGCCCCAAAACGGCACAACACGGGTCCAAGATGGCCCTCAGAGAGCCCCATGGCGGCCCAAGATGGCCCAAAGACACCCTCCGAAGCATTCCGAATCGTGACCCGGTCGTTCAGGGAGACCGCGGTTGGAGGCAGGGTGGCCCGAGGAAGCCCCCGGAGGCCCCCAGAATACGCCCAGGAGGCCTCCATAAGGCCGTGAGAAAGCCTGGAACAACTTTTGTGAGGCCCCCAGAGGCTCTCCAAGGAGGAGCCTCCGCAAAAAAGAGCTGAGGAGGATGGGGAGTGTGCGCAGGGTATGGCGAAAATAAGGAAACCGAAGCATGGAGAAAGGATAACGAATGACATTATTTTAGCGGCGATGCCGGAAAAGGCAACAAGGAGTTATCGCTAAATTGTCGGCTTGACCTTCCTGCTATTTCGCCGGCGTGCCAAACTTCAAGGACCAAGGTGCAGTGGCGCGAAGCGCCACTGCAGTCTTGTGTATATATATGTATATATGTGTACATGTACGTGTATATGTGTAGGTATGTGTATATTGCTATGTGTATGTGCATGCACATGTATATGTATACATGTATGTACATGGGCATGTACATGTACATGCACATTTCGATGCACATGTATACGAACACGTATGCCTACGTTCATGTGGAGGTGCATCTATATATGTGTATATATAGATTGTGCACATATATACATACACATATATATGTATGTATGTGTACGTGTATACGTCGGTGTTTCTGTGCATGTATATGTATATTCATATATATATATATATATATGTATATGGGTATGTACATGTGTATGTATAGGTATATGCAAACGTATCTGTTTATGTACATATGTATGTGTACATGTACATGTCTATGTATATGCAGATAGCTATAGTTTTGCACATGTATCGTTATCCATATGTAGGTGTACGTGTATGGATACTTACGTGAGTATGTACATGCATTCTTATCTGTATATGTATATGTGTATGCATATCTAACTCTCTCTATATATATATATATACACCACATTTTCATGTATATGTATATCCAAATGTACATGTACACGCAACTATATACATATATGTATATTTGCGTGTGCATGTATTTGTATCTGTACATCCGTGTGTATATGTGTATGTCTATGTGTCTGTGCAGGTGTCTGTGTATGTGTATGGGTATGTATATATGTACAAACAGATGTCTCCACTAGCGATCGCCAGTGGAACACGTTCACCATGCTGGCCAGCAGCTGTTGCTTTCTCCAGGTTGTGCGCCGAGGGGAACGGGCTCACCGTGTTGACACATGTTAAATGTTTTTGTGTTACTGCGGGTTGCCAACTCTAGGCCGTGGTGCGTCGCCACCCCCATCCTCGATCGACTGTTCATCTTTGATCGATCCTCCACAGTCGAACCTCGATAATCGGTCGAACCTCGATCTTCGTCAAAAAGTCCTCACAGTTCGGTCTTCTGCCGTCTGGCAAGTCGAACGATTCTCGAAAGTCGAGCCTCCGCCCGAAGCCCGGGCCCGCAGGGGCCGTCGTCTGGGCCTCCCCGCCCCCCGTCGCGCCGCTGGCCGCCGCCAGGAGAGGAAGATCCGTGTGTCCCACGCCCTCATCTCGGGCGAGGACCCGCTCTGGAGGAGGAGGAGGAGGAGGAGGAGGAGGAGGAGGAGGAGCAGGAGCAGGAGGAGGAGGAGGAGGTCGATGAGGGGATCGAGGATGATGCTGATTCTGATGCTGATGCTGATGCTGATGCTGATGACGATGGTGATGATGACGATGACGATGACGATGATGATTCTGATGATGATGATGATGATGATGATGATGACGATGATGATGCTGATGCGGATGATGATGACGATGATAATGATGCTGAATCTTATTATCATGATTATGATGATTATGAAGATGATGACGATGATGATGATGATGGTGATGATGACGATGCTGATGAAAATGCTGATGATGATGCTGCTGATTCTGCTGATGCTGCTGATGATGATGATGCTGATGCTCATTATGAGGCTGATGATGATGATGGTGCTGATGATGCTAATGATGATGATGTTGTTGATGATGATGATGATGCTAATGATGATGATGATGATGATGATGATGATGATGATGATGATGATGATGGATGATGCTGATGATGATGATGATGCTGATGATGATGATGATGATGATGATGGTGGTGGTGGTGATAAGGGCCATGATGACGATGAAGCCGACGTCGACGACGACGAAGATCATCATGCTGAGGAGAAGGAGAAGGAGGAGGAGCAGAGGGAGTTGGAGGACGAGAAAGCCGAGGAGGATCGGGAGGATCATGAGGGATATTACGTGGACGCTGATGGCTCTGATGATGACGGTGATGATGCTGCTGATGATGCTGATGATGGCTCTGATGATGCTGATGATGATGATGATGATGATGGTGATGATGATGATGATGATGATGATGATCATGATGATGATGATGATGCTGATGGCCCTGATGATGATGCTGATGATGATGGTGATGATGGTGATTCTGATGATGATGCTGCTGTTGCTGATGATGACGATGACGATGATGATGCTGATGCTAATGATGATGATGATGATGATGATGATGATGATGATGCTGATGCTGGTGCTGATGATGATTACGATTCTGATGATTGTGATGATGATGATGCTGATGCTGATGATGCTGTTGCTTATGATGGTGATGGTGCTGATGATGATTATGATGACGCTGATGAGGATGATGCTGATGATGTTGTTGATGATGATGATGATGATGATGATGATGATGATGATGATGATGATGATAATGATGGCTCTGATAATGTTGATAATGACGACGGCGACGACGACGACGATGATGATGACGATGATGATGCTGATATCGATTATGTTGACGATGTTGATGCTTCTGCTGCTGCTGATGATGATGATGAGGAGGATGAGGAGGATGAGGTTGAGGATGAGGGTTAGGATGATGTTGCTGATGCTGCTGCTGATGCTGCTGCTGCTGATGATGATGATGATGATGATGATGATGATGATGATGATGATGAGGATGAGGAGGAGGAGGAGGTTGTTGAGGATGAGGGCCAGGATGATGATGCTGATGCTGATGCTGATGCTGATGCTGATGATGATGATGATGATGATGATGATGATGATGAGGAGGAGGAGGAGGAGGAGGAGGAGGAGGAGGAGGAGGAGGAGGATGAGGAGTTGCAACTTTGTAGACAAATGTTCGCGGCGCCAAGGCGAGAACCTCATTTTCAAAAGGTAGTCACAAGGACGCACGGGCCATGTTGCGTTACCTTTTTGGTTGGGTGGGGTCGGCGGGTGGAGGACGTCCAGGGGTCGTTTGGTGCCCGCGTGGGCCACCACAATGGCACTCCTCGTCCTTCTCCCCCTCATCCTCCATCTCCTCTTTCTTTATCCTCCTCCCCTTACCAGCGGCTTTGGTTGGTCAAGTCCCCGATCCTCTTTGTTTCTTTCTCCCTCCCTTTCCCTTTGTTCTCTTCCTCTCCAGGCCTGTGCAGGTTGTCGCTGTTTCTTTGCAGCCGCCGCCGTCAGGACGATGACCGGGACCTCCTGTTCTCCCCGACCGACGCAGACGACAGGGTGGCTGCCAGGGAGGGGGAGGGAGGAGGGAAGAGGGAGTACGAGGAAGAGGACTGGAGAAGAGAGGCAGGCAAGCTGGGTGAACGAAAAAGCTGAGACATCTGCACGGGCACCAAGAACGCAAGTACAGTACAGTACGATGGGACCCCCGCGACAGAGCGGACGGAACGCGTCGAACCGAAGCAAGTAGTCCAGACCTCCCAATCTTCCTTGCTGCATATGGACGCCTATGGCCGCATATGCGGCAACCATGGCGGCCCTGGCAGCTTCGATGTCTCCTTGAGCAGCGATAGCGTCGCCGATCCTCCGGTTCCTCTCGTCATCGCGGGCCGCACTGGAGACAACAGGCTGCCCCAGGGGACAGCGGGCCTCGGGACAGCGCACGGCTTCGTCGTCCTGCCCAGCACCACCACCAGCGGCCTGGTCGCCGTTGCCGACGGGCGCCTCCAAGGACGGGGCTACAGCCAGCGCCGGTGGCGGGGCAGCCACAGCCTCTGCCAGCGCCGGTGGCGAGGCAGCTTGGTCCAGAGCCTCCGGAGGCGCAGAGCCATGAGCAGCGGCCCGAGCAGCATCCAGCCCATGGGCACGGTCCAGAACAAACCGCCGCCCGCGAACCGCATCATCATCAGCGGCCAGTGCTGGTGCCCGCGTCGGGGCCGCAGCCAGCGCCTGTGGTGGGGCGGCCTCCGCAGGCACCGGAGTCGAGGCAGCACGGTCCAAAGCCTCCGGAAGCGCAGCGGCAGCATCGGCAATCGAAAAGCTGCGCGGGTAGGCGAAATCGTTAGAATCGGCAGTACTGCACCCGGAACTCGACGATGTGGTCGGCGACGATCGCATCCGTGTACGGGGCGTGGGCCGGGAAGCAGCGGCTGTGCGACGGCTGGGCCACGCCGCACGGCATGCCGTCGCCGTGCATCGGGCCTCGAGGGTCAAGACAGCGGCCGTGGCCTGAGCCCGCATGCCCGGCTCCGCAGCGGCTCGCCCTTCCGCCTCCTCCGGGCCCCGACAGGGGACACTGGGGAGGAGGAGCTCGCCCCCCCCGGGCCCTGACAGGGGACACTGGGGGGAGGGGCAGCAGGCCTCGGGACACGAACACCAGCACTTCCTCCGGGCGCGGCGTTGGCAGCATGCCGATGGCTCCCGGGCAGGGTCACGCCAGCAGCATACGGGGGCCAGCCACGGCTCCACTTGGCCTCGGGCAGGGGCACCTCCACCCACGCCAAAGGTCCTGCGTCAGGCGCGGCGGCCAGTGCGCCTGGGAGCCGCGAAGTACAGCGGTCGGCAGCACTGGTGGCCTGCTGGGGGCTGGGTTCCCCGCGGCGCCCTGGTAGCTGGCGTGCAGCGGCCCGGCCGCTTCAACATCACGCGGCGGTGCACCACCTGGAGAGAGTGGGGAACAGCGTCTGCAGCAGCGTGGACCACAACGATATCCTTGAGCGTCTTGGGCTCCGACGTCAAGCCGACCAGTGGCGGCGGCCGGGCGGCAGTAGCAGGAAGTTCTCCATCATGAGCTCGCATTCTCGATGCGAGACCGGCGGCCCGCGCCAGCGTGGCCAGGTGCTGCATGTCTGGGCTGCGGCCGGCGCGGGCCGCATAGCCGAGCCTCCGCGCAGCGGCGCGAAGCGTCGGTCTCGGTCGGCTGCAGCGCCGGCCAGAGTCGTCTCGATGCGCGCGGTCGCCTGCGCTGGCCAGGAGGCGCCTGGCGGGGGCGACGCGCATGGGCTCAAGCCGTGAGGTCGCAGCTTGCCGAACTGGGGCAATATGGCTGCGATTACGGCTCGGGCCTGAGGGAGGAGGGAGGAAGGAGGAGGGAGTACAAAGAAGAGGAATGGAGAAGGAGGGAGGAGGGAGGAGGGAGGAGGAAGAAGGAAGGAGCAACGAGGAAGAAGGAAGGTGGAAGGAAGGCGGGAGAGGGAGGAGGGATGAGGGAGGCATGATGATGATGATGATGATGATGATGATGAGGAGGAGGAGGAGGAGGAGGAGGAGGAGGAGGAGGAGGAGGAGGAGGAGGACGGAGGAGGGAAGAGGCAGGAGGGGAAGGAGGAGGCGGAGGAGGAGGAGGGAACATAATAACGATAGTATTAATATTGGTAATACCAAGGATTATAATACTAAGAACGATAAGGATCATATTAATACTTGTGAGATTACCAATGGTAGTGATAAGACAAATAAGTGAATACGATTAAGACTAGCAAACATAAAGATAATAGCATGAGGCATACTACTAATCGTAATAAGAAGAACAAGAATAATCTCAATAATAAGAAGAGTTAGGTTCATACTAATCATGGTAATAGTAAAAAGCATTTTGTGTCTGTTTAAAAACGAATAAAGAAGAGGACGCGGCTGCTTGGCTGCGCGCCTTCTGATGGCACATGCGTGTGCGGCGCTGCTGGGTGGGCCCTGGGGACGAGAGCCTCCCGAAGACACCGCCCAGCCAGCTCACAACCCCAACATCCCCACCCCGGGGCGGGCGGGCGGGGTACCAACCCCGTCGGCTGCCAACCGGAGCAAAGCAGAGACTTTTTGCAATCCGTCGCTGTTAAACAAGGCTGGCAGGCCCCCCTGGGCCAAAACTTCGTCGGCCCATCCGCGCTGGAAGGCGTGCGTCCCACACTGAAGCGCGGGGAAAGTTCAAGGCGCCGCATGTCACTTTCAGGGGTACCAGCGCGCTCCCGCATGACAGGTTCGCAAAAAGGCGCTCTCGCGGCGGCGGCGTTTGGCGCGCGCGCGCCACAGAGGACCCGCGCGCCACAGAGGACCGGCGTCTGAAGTTCGCAGATGCACCGCCGCGTGACAGCCAGACTGTTGACACATGTTTCTCTGGTGCAACCGCGCGGTCGCTTCCCAGCGTCTGGCCTATCCTACAACATGCACGGGCGAGTGGTCGCTTCCCGAGCGGTGTGGCCTCCGACGCGTAGCGGAAGCAAAACTTACGCGCCGCCGCAAAACTGCCCGCCAAGTCGAACTGCCCCTCTGACGAAAGATTCTTCGCCAAATCTCTCGTCTGCTTTGCAGAAGCTCTCGGTCGAAGCCGGTCGATCTGGTTCGCCGCGCTCGCCCCGCGGGCAAGTCCGGCAGTGTTTGACAAGCTTCCCCGATCCGCTCTTATCCACTGAGGCGCAGACCGTACTTTTCCACAGTGCTGCAAGAAAATCCGCCCTTTCTGGACAGCAATCGCCATGCCGCCCCATGCGCCGTGAAGAGGGGCCACGGGTCGACCTGCATCTTTTCAGCGATGACCTCCCGCAGTTGAACAGGACACGTCGCTCAGGCCACTCTTGTGCCGACAGTGGAACTCTCGCCAGACCAGCTCGCACGTCGGCGCGCCGTGCGTCCTGCGGCCTCCATGCTTCCACGCGGTCCCGGGGCCGTTTTGCTGACTGGCCACGGTTCCTCCTGCAAAGAAGCTGCGCTCGGCCAGCAGGAGTGCGGGCGACGGCCAGGATGGCATCCGCCGGCGCGCGGGGTTGCGGAACTTGGATGTTGGCCCCGCGGCGAGCAATTCCAGCGCTGCGGGCGCTTCCTCGCCGGGGCGCGCGAAGTCCACTGCGATGGGGCCGTGGTCGAAGCCTGCTGCGCCCCGGCGCGCTGCTCGCCCCGCGCCCGGGCCCGCTTGGTCTGGCCGGCGGGGCGCGCGAGCTCAGCCAGGCAGGCGTTTGCGCGACCTTTCAAACAAGGCCAAGCGCCGCGGAGCTCTGCTGGACTGGCGCGCTCAAAATCGGCGCGCCCTGTCGACCCTTCCCAGGCCGGCTGGGTTGCCAGTTCGGCGGCGCCCTCTGGCCGCGTCTCCGTTGGCGCCGTTTGTAGAACATTTCGGAGCCAATTCGTCTGGCCAGCGTTGACGTTGGCGCTTGAGCCACGGGCCGGCTCGGTCACCGGGTCTGGGTTCGCTAGAAAAGGTTCCCGCAAAGCTGCCAGGTGCATGCAGCGGCTGCGACGATGGAGATTCGACGGGGCCCCGCGTGTCCGCTGGGGGCGGCGGCCTGCGAGTCGCAGGGGCCTGACTTGCCGCCGGCGCCTGAAGCTCCCCGGGCTCCGAAGCCGCGAGGCAGCCTCCTCGCCCCGCTGGGGAATGGGGAGAGAGAGGGAGACCGAGGAGGAGAGGGAGTGGTGCCGACCCCCCAAACGACCCCCCTTGACTGCGCCAGGCCGAAGACGAGGCGCGCTGGCCCAAGAGCGCGACGGCAACGGAGGATTCTTTCCTCGTCCATGCTTTTCCTCTGCGGACGTCGCATGCGCGAGCTGCTGCGCGACGTAGTAGCCACTGCCGTGCAAGTTCTTGGCGCTCGCGTCGCAATAATTCTCCCGCGGCGCTGGCGTCGCCGCGCCCCCCGGGCGGGCCGTCGGCCAGTCTCCGTATCGACGGGGCCCTCCAGGCGGAAAACTGGCGACCTCGGTCCGCTGTCGCGAACCAACTTTCAGCCGCCAACTAATTCGAGTCAGCCTGTCTAGAGCAACCTCGTAAAATCGCCCCGAGCACGATTGCAGAATCGACGAATTGCACCATCTCAGCGCCATTCCCGCGAATCAGGTGGCAGATCTGCCGCGAGCTGCGCGCGGCGGCAATCGGCTCCCGCGCGTTGATTTGCGCCCCGCGGGGCAGCGCCCAAGTCGTCGGGCGCCGTGGGATCGCCGCGCGAGCGAATGCCCGCGTTGGCGCAATGTGACTGCATCCCGCGCGACCGTGTTGCCGCCCGGGGAATCAGTGTAGAAAATCAATCGCGGCAGTTCCCGAGGCTGCAACGGGATGCGTCTCGCTGGGCGCATCGCCAGCAATCGCGACCACCGCTCGAGCGCGCGACGCGCGTGCCCGAACAGAGCTTGCTCTCCCGCGCGATTGGCGGAAGAGCGGCGCCACAAAATCGTGCGCGCTGCGATTGAATGTGTGTGTGTGTGTGTGTGTGTGTGTGCGTGCGTGCGTGCGTGCGTGCGTGCGCGTGTGTGTGCGTGCGTGCGTGCGTGCTCGTGTGTGTGTGTGTGTGTGTGTGTGA